CAACTCTTCTGGTCTTCGGTCTTTAGTGTTTAATGCATCAAATCTGTTCTTCAGATGATCTCTAAATTCAGGAGGGATAAATTCAAGGTCATATTTTGGCTCTCGTGGACTTGTTTTCATTTTCTTCAGCTTCACTGATGAAATGGAGCTTTTCCATCTGTAGTGATCCAGAATGTGTTTAGAGCACTCTCCATTCTGTGTTTCTCTCTGATTTTTATGACTGGTGTGGCGCAGTAGGATAAGCACTGGATCGCAAGGTCAGTTTGAACCATAAGGTTAGCAGTTTAATCACCAGTCGCTCCTCGGGAAACCCTATGAGTTGGAACCGACTTAAAGGCAGCTTTCGTGCTTCTAGGAGATATCCAGAATGTAGATTAAAATCAACATTGTTTTAGTTTCCTACTAGTGCTATGACAAATTTCCATGAATCTAGGGGCTGAAAGCCATACACATTTACTACCTTATGGTTCTGTAGGTCAGAAGTCCATCACAGGTCCTACTGGGCTAAAATCAGAAGGGTCAGCAGGGCTGTGTTCCTTCATGGAAGCTCTAGGGAATGATACAATCCCTCTTCTTTTTTCAGCTTCCAGAGGCCATCTACATTCCTTGACTCATGGACCATAGCCCCTTCTCCTCTTCCAAGCCAGAAACCTAGCATCTATTTGATGCTGTTACATCACTTTCTCTGACTTTGTCTGCTCTCCTGTCTCCTGCTTTCACTTTTAAGGATCTTTGTGATTACATTGGGCCCACTTGGATACTCCAGGGTAATCTTATTTATTGGAGGAATTGTAAGACTATTTTAAGGCCAAGTTATTAGCAACTTTAATTCCCTTTTGGCATGTAAGAAAGGAACCCTGGTGGTGCAGTGGGTGAAACATTTGACTGCTAACCAAAATGTTGGTGGTTCAAACCCACGAGCTGGTCTGTGGGAAAAATATGAGGCATTCTGCTTCCATAAAGATGTACAACCTTGGAAACTGTGGAGCACTTCTACTCTGTCCTGTAGGGTAGCTGTGTTGCTGGAATCGACTTGATGGCACTTGGTGGGCCATGTAAGTTAACATATTCTCACGTTCTAGGGCTTGATTAGGATGTGGACATCTTTGAGTGGCCATTTATTCTGCCTAGCACAAACATCTTTACTATTTCAATGTCACTGATAATTCTTAAAGACAGGCTGTACTGTTTGTTGTATGTGTTAATGTAGTCTTCTATCTTTCGTTTTGCAAATGTTCAGTGTTTTTTTAGTGGCCACAAACTGAAACTTATCCACAGGCTAGATGGAATTGTTGTTGTCAAGTGCCATCAAGTCGATTCCGACCCATAGCGACCCTGTATAAGGTTTCCAAGGAGCAGCTGGTGAGCTTGAACCACCACCAACCTTGCAGTTCAAATGGCTTTGCAGTCTGGCACATTAACCCACAGGGCGACACCAGGTCTCCATGGTTGATGGAATTGGGTGTGTGCATATAGCAGAACAAGTTTCCTTAACTAAATCCTCGAATTCCTCTGCCCCATTACCATCTCCAGCCTGTCTGCAACCTCAGCAAGGGCCCAACCAGCATGTGAAACTGGACCATAGCAACATGGACAACTTCAGTAAGGTGCAGCAGATATGCCCCTGCGAAGGAAGGGTCTAGCTCTCAGCACTAACTCAATAGCCCTTTCATCTGTTCTGGGAAGTCCTGGTTATTTCCTCCACTTATTAAAACCTCAGCTATAATCATGGAAGCATGCTCCCTACAGCCCACCCATGCTTCCTTCTGGCTTTCCTTCAATCCCACTGAGATTTTCTTAGTAAGAGTGTATATCACCTTTCACCTGACTAACTGCTACAGCTTTCTAAGTAGTCTCTGTGACACCATCAGTGGATAACAAACCAACTTACTTTCTGCCTTTCTCCTACCCAAACCCTTAACTCTAGCTACTTGGGACTGTTTAAAATTCCTGCTGTAAGCATTGCTGTTTTCAGCCCTCCCTCTGCTAAAAACACTGTCTTTCTTTCTCTCTACATTGGGAAATACTGCCTGCCCTTTCAGGTCTGTTCAGTTCTCTGCATCTTCAGGATGACCTCTTCAATAGACCAGCCTCCATTCTCTGAGCCCCCATGTTTACAGTCTATATGTTGTTTGTCTTGTGACATAGACAATATTTGTAGTTCTTGTCACTTCTTCCCTGCTAGCCCTCTGCTCCTCCTGGAGTAAGACCCATTCACCAAATTATTCCTAGACAGTGTCCAGCCAAACCAACTTGCTAAGCACTCTGTGTTAGTGTGGGTGCTTCTCTGTGACTACCAGGAGTGTGCAGAAAAGCCAAGACCGCAAACAGGCATTCACAGAGGTAGGGTAGGCTGGCTCAGACCCAGTGCCAGGCAGAAAACAGCAACAAGTGCATTCTCAAAGTCTAGGCAGGGCTGGCTGTAATAATGCACTCATACACTCTGGTCCTGATGAGCTTATTTATTGAAAAGCTTTAAGCAGGATCTTAGACACAAAACCAAGAGTGAGCAAATACAGAGATGCTGGGAATCATAACCACAATTACTACTGAGCAGGAGGTGTGGGGCTCCAGGCAGCCAAGGTAGCTGTGCTGGGAGACAACCATCTCAGCAGTAGAAATTTGGCTACCTGGGAGATCTGGCAGTGCTGTAGGGCTCAAGGCTGTGGGGAAAGCCAGAGACAGCCTAGCAGAGAGGAAGGGGAGGAGACGACAATATGAGTGAAGTCAGGCTGGTTGGGTGAGAAGAGGAGCCCTCACTTCCAGCCTCATAAACCTGAATAGGAAGCCTCTGTGATCTCTGACCAGGATGAATCCCGGTAAGATGAAGAAGGTGGCCGCTGCTGTCTTCTCTGATTTGCGCAACCCAGGCGCATAAGCAGCATCCACATACGCTCCCGGAACTTAACAGCCACAAAGGCATACAGAAGCGGGTTAAGACAACAGTGCATATAGCCCAGGCCTGAGGTGACTGACTTGGCCACATCAATATGACTTTCTCGCCCACAGTTGCGAGCTAAGGCCCCCAGGTCCATGAGAGTGTCCACCAGTACCACCAGGTGGTAGGGGGTCCAGCAGAGAGTAAAGGCCACCACTACCACCACCACTAACCTCATGGCTCGCAGCCGCCTCTGGCCCCTGGAGACCAGAAGCACAGCAATGATGCGGGCATAGCAGTAGGCCATGACCAGCAGGGGCAGCAGAAAACCAGCAACCAGCTGCAGCATTCGCAGAGCTGTTCGGCCCATCTTGGGGAAATTGTACTGGCAGTGGGTAGCATTGAGTCGTTCGTCATAGCGTGCTGATAGGAAGATCAGTTCTGGGAGGGCAAAGAGCAGACAGAGGCCCCATACCACTATACAGGTGAGGGTCACACGGGCTGGAGGGCCTCGGCGGTAGATCTGGGTGGCATGCACTATGCTCAGGTAGCGGTCAAAGCTGATGCAGGCCAACAGAAGGGCCCCTGCATAGAAGTTGATGTTGAAGAGGGCACCTGCTACTTTGCAGAGGCCAGACCCGAAGACCCACTGAACAGCAGCATCCACTGCCCAAAGGGGGAGGGTCAGCACTAGCAGTGCATCGGCCATGGCCAGGTGAAGCAGGAAGGTGTCGGTGCTGCTCAGAGCTGCCCGGTGGCTAAGCAGTATGGCTGCTACTGCACCATTGCCCAGAAGGCCCAGCAGAAAGAGGAGGCCATAGACTGCTGGCAGGAAGGCCCGGTCAAAGTTCAGGCTAAAATCCTGTGGGCAGGGTGGGGAGGCACAGCAGAAGTCTGTCTCATTTTCTTCGTAGTCATAGGAAGAGCTATAGTTTTCCAGGAAGGTAAAATCATCTAGCACTTGGTGTTGGATCATCTATGGAGGGAGGGAGGTAGAGACTATGTAAGGGGCCTTTGCAATCAATCACTCCTTCACTATCTAGTCTCTTAAATAGTTTTTGAGTTGCATCTCCTCTGTAAGGTAAGACCTGTAACTTCACCCCTTTTTTCCATCTGAACCCCATCTGCCCCACCTGGGCTCTGTGATGCCAACTTCCCTTCTCAAAGGCAGCTTTTCTCTGGTCTTTCTGAGCCATCCATTGGCCCAGGGATCCTCCTGTGCCAAGAGTTCTCTCTGCTCTTCCCTCACTGCTCGCTGGTCATGCCTAGTTCAGTCACCAGGTACTTCCATGCAGTCCCCTCTTCAGTCCTTGTCTGGGGACCCCAACTTCCTGCCCCACATGGGAGGCTGTCTACAAATCACTGTAGCTCTAAAATGGGCTTTCTGTCCCAGTCCTTTCTTGTCTCCCATACCGAGGCTTCCCACTGGGAACTCCCCCACGCAACTCTTGGGAAAATGTTCCTTACTCTATCACCTATACCAGAGCTGCAGGCCTCCCCAATGCCAATTCAGTCTAGCACATACAAGTCAAAGTTCAAAGTCAGAGCTGAAGGGAGCCTTATAATGTCATCAAGACTGAGCCTCTACCTCCTGCATGTTTTCAGCTAAAGTAACAAAGCCAGAGAGGGGTAAAACTTGCCTATAGTCATATGGCAAGTCGGTGGCCAAGCTGGCTTCCCAATTCTCCATCTAGTGCTTCTTCTACCCTGGCCCCTGCACCTTCTGCTTACTCACACAACTCTTTGAAAGCCCTGGGTTGTGGATCAGCCTTGATGTTTCCCTGGTACCATGGGCTCACCCTCAGAGATGTGGCCTGTCCTGGCTAGGCAGCAGCACTTACCTCAGGGACCATGTCTGGGCTGGTGTTCTGGCAGCTGCCTGACCCTCTACTTGGGTGCTTGTGGTCGGGAACCTGCACTTCACAGAGGAAGTGAGGGTTTCACATGATTCACAACAACAGCCTCTTCCATGGGGCGATCTACGCCAGACCTACTGAGACCCAAGTCCATAAAGATCCTTTTCCTTGTCACTACCCTCGGGAGAAAGATGAGGCTTTCTGCTCCCATAAAGATTTGCAGCCTCAGAAACCCTATGCAGGGTCACTATGAGTCAGAACCAACTCCATGGTACTTAACAACACCCTGGCTGAGTACAGCAGCTGTGGAGGAGGTGACTATAGACCTGAGACCAGAAAGTCTAGGCCCCAGGGAAGGGCAGGGGTGGTTGGGTAGGTGAGAGGTGAGAAAGCCAAGTAACTGGGACTAGAAGGGAAGCCTTTCTCTGCTAGTGGCCAGACTGGTTTCTCTATTGGTTTGGTCAGTGCTTCAAGAAATTGGAATTTGTGCTCATCTCAGTGGCAGTGGGTTTGGTGGTTTTTTTGGGTTGATTGGTGTTTTTTTTTTGGTTCTAGGTGGGAATTGATTTTTTTTTTTTTTTTGAATAGATTTTTACATGATTGTAGAGACTGGATTGCTAAATGGATTAAGTCTGTAGACGAGAATAACCTTAAAACAATTCAAATATTTTAAAGATTATCACATTAAAGCTAGACCTTTCCCATCAGCCTTCCCAGCTAATCCACAGAAGAAAGGAAACTACAAATTAAGATCTGGCTATGTGCTCCGTGCTATTTTAGCTGTCCTCTCTGGCGCTGCCTCATTCCAACTACAAAATTCCCCTGTGGTGCTGATGAAACAAACCCAGAAAGGGAAAAGCCTTTCACCACATACAGCAAGTAAAGGTAGGTGCTAAGACTCAACCCATGGCTCTCTGACTCTCCTTTTACCATGTGTCATACTGCCTTCAATTTTTTAATGGATAAACTATATTCCTGCAGTTAAAAGCAAACCAACTTATTAAAAAAGAATAGGCTTACTGGTCAGAAAGACACTAGAACCCCAGACTGTGCCCCTTAACCACGATTCAGGTCTGGAACAAACTCAGCCTTGCCCAATATAGGGGTGACAACAACACTGGTGAGGTATGCTCACCATGGAATGGTCAGTCATCCAAGATTAAAAGGACAAAGTTGAGAAGGGTTGGGTCCTATTTGTGGATGGAAATAGAAACCATAGAGAGAAAATGGGATAGCTTGTTGCATGGAGGAAATTGTAATCATTGAGCTGAAACAACATGTGTGGCTTGTTGAATGTAAAACTGATCTTGTCTGTAAACCTTCACTCAATTCACAATAAAAAGTTTAAAAAAAAATCTAATCAACTAAAACTATGTAATTTAACATGGCAATGTCCTGGTGTGCGTGTAGGATAAGCACTGGACTGCTAACAGGGTCAGTATGAGTCAGAACAGACTCGATGGCACTGAACAACAATAGCCACTTAACATGTCTTGAAAAGTCAATGACTGCATGGTAGATAGTGGGGGAGAAGTTACAGATTACTGTGTATTGTTTGACACTGCTTATGTAAATTCTACACAAAAAGCAACGTATTCATCCGAATAGCTTGAAAACAAGGACTAGAGACACTGTATATTTCAGGAGAGCAGTCGCTTCTTTAGCAAGAAAGGGAATGGAATGGGGCAGAAGTCCATAGAGACCTCAGAATTTTCAGGAAAAGCTATAAAACAGTATCTTTCCATCATAGTAATAACAGTTATGACCGAGTGTTGTAATGGTTACTCTCTCAAGCAGTTTCCACCTTTACTATCTTTTCCACTGTCCCCAGTTGAAAAGAGAGGGGAGGGTAAATGTTAACCCATGGCTTTGAGGTTCAGTTTGCTGCTAGACTAGACTCATTCTGGAACTCAGTTCTAACTAATTGACAAGATGTAAGCTTATGAGACACCGAGACCTTCCCCCTCCTTCCATAGGCTGTGGACAGAAGATATGGCCATCCTTGTTCTGAAACAGTTTATCACCTGCAGGGTCCAGGCCAGAGGGAACTGAGGGCCTGGAAGACAAAAGGAGCAGTGCAAGTGGAGAAGAACCATACCAATTAGGATAGGTAGGACAAGGCAAATGCCTATGGCCTGTGGGGATGAAGAAGGAGGGAAGCCTGGCTCATGGTTTACCAATACTGGTCTGTGTTGTTGTTGTTGTTATGTGCTGTCGAGTTGGTTCTGACTCATAGTGACCCTGTATAGGGTTTCCGAGGAGCAGCTGATGGATTTGAACTGCCGACCTGGTAGTTCTCAGTCCAATGCTTATTCTGTAGTGCCACACCGGGAGTCCATCTGGTCTGTGAAAAGGTTTGATTTCACTGGGCTTCTACAAATGAGAAAAACCAGGACAACAACAAGCTAAATTTGTTCAGCTTAAAGAATGGTCTTGTATTCTGCAATTATATTCTTTTTTTTTTTTTGGTATTAAAACAACCTTTTCTTTATGAAATAATGGTAAAAATAGATGGTAGTTTTAAAAAATATCTTGTATTGGCAGAAGTTGGCAACCCAATGAGGGTCCTCCAAATATATGTTAAAATTGTACTAGATCCAGGTGTGGTACAAGTGGTTTGCTATCAGCTGATAACATAAAAGTGGGTGGGTCAAACCTACCCAGAGAGTCAGGAAGAAAGGAGTGGTGATCTGCTTTCCTACAGATTACCACCAAGGAAACCCTATGAAGCACAAGAACTGTAACACAAAAAGTCACTATGAATTGGGGGCCAACTTGATGGCAACAAGAACAACTCATTAAATATGTTGTTTTTTAAGTGCCGTTGAGTTGGTTCTGACTCATAGATACCCGGTATAGTGTTTCTGAGGCTGTAAATCTTTGTGGGAGCAGAAAGCTTCATCTTTCTTCCTTGGAGCAGCTGGTAGGCTCAAACCACTGACCTGGTGGTTTGCAGTCCAGTGTTTATTGTACAGAGCCACTACACTTCCACATGAAATAAGAGGAGGCTTCAAAGAGTGCATGGAAAAATTTCCACTATCTTTTAATTCCATTTTCCATGAACTTTTTCCCCATGGTCTCCTTCTTGTGCTTCCCTCCCTCCCCCCCTTTTTTTTTTGTTACATGGATATAATAAATGAGAGAAGGTCAGGACAAGGGCTTTGGAAAGGTGCAGGGAACTTTCTAAGTGGACTGTGGGCATGGACTGTTCTCATTGTCATTATGATGTGCAGCGGGAAGAACACTGAACTTGTCTGGACTCCAGCTCTGATGCCGTCTTGTTTGAGCTGTGTGACCTTGGACAAATGCCATACTCTTTTTTTATATAAGTTTTTATTGTGACCTGAGTGATAGTTTACATGGGAGAACATCGGCTTTATACCATCATTTCATTGCAATGATTACACTCTCCTCTATCCGTGCATCATCATTCAACAGTATTTGCTTCCATTCCCTATTTTTTTTGGGGGTGTATGTGTGGATGTACACAGAAACACTCAGGAATATATAACAATTTAAACAACCAAAGGGCACATTCTGTAAGCCTGCCTCCAAGCCGCCAGCACCCAGTCCCTCTCCCTCTCCCTCTCCCTCTCTGTGTCTAAAGTCCCCAACTGCTCCATCTCTCCAGGTCATCTTCTCTGCCTCCATCTCTGGCTTCACTGCTTCTCTGGGTAGGGTCCCGTTCTCCACTCTTCTCCCTTGATGGTCCCAGGGACCTCCGCTCCTAGATTGCAAAGTCAATCACTCCCCTCCTTTGCTACAAAACATCTACCCAAATGCCATACTCTTTTAAGCTGGTTTTATAAGCAGCGTTCTTACAAGATGAATAGAGATAATTACTTAGTAGGAGCACAGTTGAGAATGCTGAGTAAGCAGGATATTGTCTGCAAACATAAAGCCACTGGGATCTTCTAATGACAGTCACACACCTAAGATAGAGTGTGATGACTTGTGGAGTTTGCAGATGTGGGCTCAGCAGGAGGGCTGGTCTTTCAGAAAAACTGCCCTTTGGGTTAGCTGGGAGGGTTTGACCAGTCCTAGTTAATCCTCTGACTGCCTAGCTGTGTGACCTTGTACAAATCATTTCCCCTCTTTTTCTATCTCACTTTCCTCGTCT